GCCGACGTCGACGTCGACGCCCGCCGCCGGCAGGTCTTTGAGTTCCGCGACGCCTCGCCGCCGTCGGCAAGGAGGACCTGTTCTTCCGCTGGATCGAGATTGTGCAGTACGAGTCGACGCAGCCGGGCGGCTTCGGGCCCGAGCGCCAGGTCGATGCGGCCAAAGAAGAATTCGCGACCTGTTCAGCAAAGGAGGGCATAGACTTTGACGAGTTTTGGAAGGAGAGCGTCGGCGAGGATGCCCGAGGCGGCTTTTTAGCTTCTGTCCGTTTGGGGCATGGCACGATGTTGTGTACGATCAAGATGGGAGGTGGTGTTTTTTGGCGGACAGACTGGCCCGGCGAAATGGACAGTATAGAAAGGGCGGCACAGAGGACCGCACAGAGGACGCACAGAAGGACACACAGAAGGACGCACAGAAGCACGCACAGAAGCACGGCACAGAATGCCCACAGGCAGTAGGTCTATGACAGCAACTAGACGGCACGGTACGGAAAAGCGCATCAAGACGAGGCATGTTGCCTCTGGTTCTTTATTCCAATGCATCACATCATCAGTACACATGAAAAAGGCGACCGTGGCCTCGGGCTTCGGCTTCGAGCTTCGAGCTTCGAGCTTCGAGCTTCAGCTTCAGCTTCGAGGTACACGGCAACACTGTTTGACAATCGGTCCGACCGGGAGATGTTCATGACTCCCCGTCCGCCCCGACACGACGAGGACCAAGGCGAGCGACACGCTCATTTGGCCTTCTTGCTGGTCTTCTTGCCGAGGGCCGCCTCGCGCTTCTTGGCCTCCTTGGCGTCAATCTCGGTCTTGCGAGCGGCCTCCTGCGCGTCACGCTCCTCCTTCTCGGCCTGCATCCTATCAGTGTGCTGTTCACAAAAAAAGAAAAGGAAAAAAAAAAAGGCGAGGAAAGAACGTACCGCCCGACGCGCGCCCTCGGCCTCGCGCTGCTCGCGAATGAGCTTCAGACGCGCCATGTCGGCCTTGGCCTCGTCCGTCTTGCCGGCCTCGTGCAGACGCCTGTACTTCTCCTTGGCGACGAGGGCCTCGGCGCTCTCGCGCTCCTTGCGGTCGCGGCGCCGCCGGGCCCCTTGACGCCCTCGGTGACGTCGTCCGACGCCGGCGTCCGCGCTCTTGGCGGTCGCGGCCCTTGGTCTGGTTGCGCGCGGCCTTGGAGTGGTTCGGGTTGGCGGGCATGTCGTCGTCGTCGTCGTCCGACTCCTCTTCGTCCGAGTCGCTGGGCGGCATGTCGCCGACCTCGACGGCCTGCGCCTTCTTCTTGGCGATGGCGGCGTCCTTGCGGGCCTTGGCCAGCTTCTTGCGCTCCTCGCGCGACACGGGGCCCTTGTCCTCGGCGGCCGAGTCGTCCTCCTCGTCGTCTTCGTCGTCGTCATCTTCCTCCTCTTCGTCCGAGGACGCGTTGGCGCTGCCCTTTTCTTTGGCGCCGGCGGCCCACATGCTGATTTCGTTGCCTTCCGAGTCGACGGGGCGCAGGTCGCGGGAGAAGTGCTTGCCGCCTTGGTCTGTTAGCGCTGTCTGTCTTTCGGTGCATGTCTGGCGCAGTTTGGGGTGCAAATTGGATGGTTGGGACGTCAGGCGGTTTACGTACCACCACGGGTGTACTTCTTGAACTTGCCACCGCGGCCGCGGTAGTTGGCACCAGGAGCACCACCAGCCATGATGATGAGGATGTGTCGTGTGGGGGGGAAGGAGAGGAGAACAAAGTGTGTCAAAGAAAGGAGAGGAGCAAGGGTTCGTCGATGGTGTGCGGGGCTGTTGTTGCAGAGGTGCAAGGTAGAGGCAGAATGGAAGAGACTGCGGAGTCGTTGAAGTGGGATGTTTGGTGTTTTGGTGGTGGCGGGGTATCGGCGGTGGGATGGAGGGGCAGACGGGTCCGGCCAGTGACAGGCACGAGGAGCAGGCGGCAGGGTGAGGAGAAGCTATGAACGATAGTTGTATGAACGATAGTTGTATGGATGCTATTTGTACGAATGGTATTTGCATGAACGATGGCTATATGAATGATGACTGGAATGATAATTGTCATCGCAGCACAGCACGGCCAGGCCGGTGACTCGAGCAGCGCGTCCTCGTTCAGGCAGAAATCACGGTCACGGCAAGAGGCAGCCAGAGCGGACAGACAGCACACGAGCACCTGCCTGCCTGTACATGTACATGCACTGCTCTTGCCTGTGCCTACCTGCTGTACACGCACTGCTCTTACCTCTGCCTACCTGCTGTACACGCACTGCTCTTGCCTCTACCTGCTGTACACGCACTGCTCTTGCCTCTACCTGCTGTACATGCACTGGCTCTTGCCTGGGGCTTCCTGCCTCTCTGCCCTTGGGCTCACTGCCCCTCAGTCGAAGCCCCTCAGTGGAAAGCGCCCCTCAGTCGACGCCCCTCAGTGGAAGTGTCAGTGCCGTTTCTTACTGGCGGCACGACATGACGAGGGTCCCCGCCCTCTGCTGGTTTTTAGGCCTCGCTTCATTGGCTCGACACCCAAGTCTCCACACACCCAGTGCCGCCGTTCCTGACGGTGCCTTGGGTGCTTGGGTGCTTGGGTCTTGGGTGCTGGGTGCTGGGTGCTGGGTGCTGGGTACTGGGTGCTGGGTGCTGGGTACTGGGTGCTGGGTGCTGGGTGCTGGGCTGGGTGCCTCTTGGGTCCGACTGCAGCGACAACGAGTCTCTGGCGGTGAATCGCGTGCCGGTACGAACGAACGGGCAGATCTCGGCAGCCCAATCATTCCCCCCCAATCATTTCATTCGTGCCCAATCATTTCCCGCCTCACACCTGGATCAGGGGATGCAGGGGCGAGGCGCCTGATGCCGTGCGCTTGCTAGCGATGAGTGCCCAAGGTTGGGTCATCACGCTGGACGGGAAGGCCGACGAGTGCGAACGGGGGCTGTTCGTCTCCGGTCTGTCATCTGCCTGGCCATTTGCTGGCGTCAAGGCGTCTACGTAGTGTTGGGAGTGGTCCAATCCACACAGGTCCAGTGTGAGGCTGGACTTGGCTGGCTCAATCATATACTTGTGAGTCACAGTTGACAGCAGAGGGAAAAAAATACAGAGGAAAAAAAAGAAAAAGAAAAAAAAAACACGACACGACACGAAACCAAAAACAACGAAGCTGCGCTCCGGTAGTGCGATCCTTCCGACCGGAGTCGAGCCGGTGACCTTTCGATTGGAAATGAAGACCAGTTACAGTCGAACGTGATGAACCAACTACACTACGGAAGGATTTGATGAGGCTGCCGATTTTCCTGTGCTCTGAAGAATCGCGGCCTTGCGTGCCAGACTGCTGACTCATCTCGGATCGGGCGCCGCTGCGCCGAAAAAAAAGACCCCCCGCCCAGAAAGAAATCCGCCCCGCAGCAGCAGGGGAACAAAACCGCGCCGCAGCCGTCGCGCTTTTCCTGTTTTTTCTCCTTTTCCTCTTCTTCATCATAAAACACACTCCCCTCTATTCACTCTAGCTTTCATTCCACCATGATTGCCTGGAGGGGAAACGAGGGGATAGACGAATGCTGGTCTTTACGTTCTCTTACCCTCTGGCCCGTGGCAGCTTGCTGTATTGGTGCTCAGAGAAATTTTTCGAACGGCACATCCTGATGAAGAGTGACGCGTGGGCGTGGGCGTGGGCCGTAGGAGCCTGTTGCAGCCTGCTTTTCGTCGTATCGGCCTCGAACAGGGGCTCTTTTCAACGCATTGCATACTGCTGTCAGGAAAGCATAGCGTCTCGACGTGACGGGGCCTGTCTGTCGAGTCTGAGCGCTGTACGGAACGACGTACCAAACGACATCGCTCAGGACAGCTGGCAGCTGGCAGTATCCTCGGCCGGCCTGTGCAGCCGCCAGCTGTCAAAACATCCCGTGAACGCGACTGATGAAGTCTGGGCCACCAGCTTCTGCAACTGAGGTCAGGCGGCCATGGCCATGTCCTGGTCTCTTGTATGTCCCGGTCTCTTGTATGTCCTGGTCTCTTGTTATGACACCGGATCAGGCCTTTTGGTGCACGTTCGAAAGTCAAGCTGGGAACCGATCCTCGCAGATGCCCTGGCAATAACAGCACCGGGCTTGCGTCCCCGGATAAATTCTCACCCAGTTTTTCTTCATCGTTTCTGGCAACCCGCTGTGGCATCCCAGGCAGGTAGGTACCTGGCAGATCCTGAGGCCATGTCATTCACCGTCACGGTCATCATCAGCTGGTCGCAGAGAAATCCATCTTCACTAGACCAGGCTGGGTTGGGTAACCTTGCCGCTGCTGTCATTGCCATCAGCCAACGCGGATGGTATTCATTCAGTACACGAGGCGCTCCGCAACAGCTCCCATTCCTGGTGAATACTGCACTGAACATGGAGTGCCAGTTTATCCACAGGTCACAACATGAGCAAATGCTGTGCTAAAGCGGGTGCCAAGCAGGTGCCAAGGCGGTGCGCCTTGTCCTTGTCCTCCAGCTTGGTCAGAATAAAGGTACAGTCTGCCAAAGATCACGAATGAACACCCCACATCCTGCTCACTCGTAAATGTTGAGACCGTCATTCAAGCTCTCCAGTGCCTTTGACGAACACTACATCTGAACTGATGGCAAACAGTCAAACATATTCCCCCCTCAGAAACCCAGCTGTGCATGGTTCCTGATCCGGCAGAACAGATCAGACAACGATTGGTGAAGAAGGGCCAAATCTCTTCCGCCTCCTACAGCCCTGCAGCCCTGCCACAGAACCATTGGCAGAGCACCCGTCTCAGGTGCGCCACTAGTGCATCGTGCAGTGAAATCCGGAAGGCGCCGGCGCTGCGCCGGGCAGGTGGGGCCGAAACACCGGCAGTCACGACGACGAGGCCAGCACTATCGGTGCCTACCCGGAACGGTATTTAGTCCGGCTCCGGGTCTCCCTCTGGCCTTCTTTCTTCTCCTTCTACCACATCGACAATGACCATGGCCGCTCAGATCAACCGCCAGCTCCTCTCGACCTCGACCTCGCCCCCGCCCCGCCCCCGTGGCAATGTCTGCCGCACCTGCAGACAGACGCTGGTCCTCCCGCCCCCCGTCGCGGCCGTGGTGGCCTCGGGCCCCTTCGTCGTAGCCCATCCGTCATCAGCCGCACACGCGCGCTGCCAGAGCTGCGACGCCGACAGGACCCGCAGCCTGCCGACCGATCCTCGCGCAGCTCCACAGCGCCGACAACAAGATCGTGCGCCTCAAGCGCGAGCACCACCACCTCGACGTCACCGTGTCGCTGCTCGTGCGGTTCCTGCCGCGCCATCCGCGCGACGACCTCGACGGCCACTCGCTCCTCATCCGCAAGCAGACGACGCGCGACTGCAAGCACACGGAGCTCGTCCTCTCGGCCGCCTGCGCCAAGGTCCTCCTCAGCGACGCCTGGGCCGACTACTGGGCCATCTGGGGCTGCGCCGGCACCGGCACCGGCCACGACGCCGCCGTCGTCCGCGCGCGCGACTAGGCGTTCATGCGCGAGGACTGGATGCTCGAGACGACGCCCGCCGAGGACGCCGAGCGCCACGCCGTCGACGAGCTGCTGTACGTATCCATGGCCGCCATCCGCGCCCGCGCCGCCCGCGAGGACCAGACCTTCGACCTGCTCGAGCCCGTCGACGTCAACGCCCACGACCCCCGCTGGATCGTCCGCCGCGCCTGCTGCGTCCGCCTCGCCAACGAGTTCGCCGCCGCCTGGGACCGCGACCACGACGACCCCGCCGGTAGCAGCAGAAGCAGCAGCAGAAGCAGCCAGACGCCCTTTGACCGCCTTCACCTCAGCGGACAGTGGCCCGGCCGACGGACCCAGCCGCTGCGCGAGGAGGACCAGCGCCACCCCGGCGGAGGACCCCACGATCACCTGTACACCCAGGACAGTCGCGACCAGGAGGCCGTGCTCGACCGTGTCATCGCCGCGCAGGACCGCGCGCGCCATGCCGAGCGGGCGAGGCGCCGCCTCCACGGACCGAACGGATACCACCCTGACGAGGCGGCAAGCAGCAACGGTGGCTATCCCTTCAGCGACTATTGCGCTTGGTGATGGTGGCTTGGTTTCTGCGCTTGCCAACGTGTGTCATCTTTGCCGCACTCGGAAGATGGCCTCTGCAGTCGCTGTTGGCGGCAGCGAGACGGCTTGGAATGGTTTTTTGGGCGTTCAGGTGTGGAATCGACATTGGGGGTCAGAACACGAAATGATCCAGTACACGAAATGATGCGAAGCCAGTATCATATGGATGCGACAGCTTGCAAGGGAATCACTTCAGAAAAGAACCAAAACGAAAAAATGCTTGCAAGGGAATGACTTCGGAAAATAACCAAAACGAAAAAATGCTTGCAAGGAAATGACTTCGGAAAATAACAAGCGATTTTCCCCTGAAGTACATCAACAGAACGGAACAACTCAACTCAATCAAGAACACCAAAGGGATCGAACGCGCAAACTCGAATGACAAAACACAGAAAGGATCGAATGGACAAATGGAAATGACAAAAACGTAAAAAAGGGATCACACACGGCATCAGTATCAACACATCAAGCTCCAAGGCCGAGGAAGGGTGCGCTCAATACTGCAGTCTAGTACAATTTACCCCCCTCAGTAGCACCATGCTTCATCCCGTGACAATCTGTCGTGAGCCTTGACCGTTGACCTGACCGCGGTGCATCCCCCGTCTACCAGTCCTCCACAGTACAGTAGGCCCAGCTGTCGGCGTCCGAATCCACGTCGAGAGAGATGTCAGCGTCCGGCTGATGCTCCATCGACCCCTCAGACTCACAGTTGTAGTCACCAGTCGCATGCATATCGGCGGCGGGCCTTCTCCCGTCTCCAGACCGCGTTCCGATAAACTCGCAAAGCTGCGGCGACGCTTCGGAGCGGAGGACAGCCCCGTCGCCCCAGAGCTGGCCGCGAATGGTAGCCACGGCACACGCAATGGCGCGCCTCTTCGTGGACCAGGGCGCAAAGTAATGGACGTCCACCTCCTCGACGACGACCGGCTGAAGCGGCTCGAGCCTGGCGGCGTCGCCCAAGGCCGCGATACCCAGGGTCTCGAAGAGCCTCGCGAGCGCGGCTCTGACAGATCGTTCGGCGGTCACCTCGGGTGCTTCCGTGGACTTGATGTCGTCGAGGGAAATGACAACATCAAAGCACGTTCCGGCCTGCATCGGAGGGGGGTGGAACCGCAGCGTGCCTCCACACGCGTCAGAGTGCTCGCAGTTCTGCGTCGACGTTTCCATCACGCCTGCCTCCTGTTCTTGCACGGCGCTGTCCTCCGTGCTGCGAGGTTGCTCGTACTGCCGCCGGAACTCTTCCACGACACTTTTCGCGAGCTTCTCGCCGCGGCTGGCACGGGGACGCTCCAGGCTCTTGAGCACGAGAGGGGAGACCATGACATACGGCTCGACGCCCCGCCCCTCGTCGCCGTCCATGCAGTCCATGTCGCCAAGGGATGTGGGCGAGCATCTGCAGGCCCTCGCCGAAAGGAAGATTCCGCATAGAGCGACTATACCGGGCCACAAGCCGCGGCAGTCGACCAAGGTGCCTGCTGTGGGCCTCTTCCTCTTGCTCGTGATTCAGGTCCTGAACCTCCTTGAACTGCTGCTGCCGACGATGCTGCCGCTTGATGTGACACGGTATAGCCGCGGCGCGCTCGACGCAGAGCTTCCAGTAGGCGGCCACGGCCTCCTTTGTCTTGAGGCCCTTCATGCCGTAGCGCAGAAAGTCATGCTGCGTCTCGATGGCGGCCAGGCTGGTGATATCCTCGTGGAACATTTCGAGCTCCTCCGCGTACAGCCTCTCGCCTTCCCAGCCTTCGCTCTTGGCTCTGCTGCTGAAGGCTTGCCAGTGGTCGTCGTGGATGCGCTTCTTGAGGAACGAGAACCGTGCCCAGTAGGCAGCCTCGAGCTTGCGATAGATGATGTGGTTGGGCTGGATTGTTGGAGCCGCAGCCGTAGGCGCCGCAGCTGCAGGGGCCGCCGGAGGTGCATGCTGGCCGAGTGTGTTCGAACCTGGGGTGTGCAAACCCAGAGACGAGGCGACAAAGGAGGTCTTCATATCAATAGGCGCCACGGCAAGCGTCGAGCAAGACTCGCCAGGCTGACGAGTCGGCAGAGAGGCTCCGTTCAGCGATGGCTGGGTCTCAACATCCGTAGGGCCGGAACTCAGGGGATGTCGTGGGGACGGCGAGGGCACAGGCTTCCTGGGAATGCGATGCGGCTGACGGGCCGTGTTGACTTTGCCGGTGGCCGCATCGCCGAGCTGCTGAACCATCTGGGACGCCAACGAGTTGATCTGTGTTCGCAGGAGCAGCAGTTTGTGCAGGTTCGCTGTGTCCTTGATACTCTTTTGCGATGCCATTCTCTTTCGGATGATTTCGTCCATGGTGTTCTCGAGTTCGCCGAAGCGCCTTTTCAGCACCACGACTTGCAGTCCCGGATACGCATCCATGTCGAATAGAGGCGCCGACGATCCCTCGTGAGTGGGCATGATGAGCTGGCTGTAGGGCTCGAGTCTGTCAGTTTTGATTAGGCTGGTGTGGACGCCTGTATGCGACGTGTGGTGATGGGCGGTGACGTGTGAGAGCAGCAGACGCCTCGGACGGGGACAGCATTCTCCTATGTAGACAGATGTCTGCCATCTCCGACAGCTCGTCCCCGACAGCTCGTGTGCGGCGCATATAAGTTTGCGAGCCAGAGCTTAATGAAAAAGGTTGGGCGTGACCTTGAAGGCTGCCAGCGTGCAGCGAACCTGTTGGGCCGACGGTGAACTCTCGTCCACGAACTTTGCCCCACGAACCTTGCTGGCTGGCCGGCCAGCCCGACGACGGCGCGCACCAAGCTCACGACCTCATGAACGACTCCAACAGCTCGTCCATGCGCATGCGCTTCCTCCGCCGCAGCGGCAAGCCCGTCTCCACCGTCGAGGTTTGGGCCCTGGGCTTCATGAACCCCGCCGCCTCCTGGTGCCGCTTGCTCGTGGTTTTGCCCTCGCCCGCGACGGCGGCGGCAGCCTCCCCCGTGCGGTAGAACGTGTAGCGCGACGTGGCGAACAGCCCGCGGCTGACATAGGCCACGGCGGGCGAGATGCCGGCCCTGTCGCTGTGGCCGAGCTGCAGGCAGGCCATTGGCTTGGGGGGGAGCAGCAGGTTGCCCGACAGGGCGTGCTTGGGCTGCTCGTCTGGGGAACTGTCCTGCTTGGGCTGCTTGTCCGAGGATTTGCCCTGCCTTGGCTGCCTGTCTGAGGATTTGTCCTGCCTGAGCTGCCTGTCTGAGGAATTTTCCTGCCTGAGCTGCCTGTCTGAGGACTTTTCCTGGCTGGGCTGCTTGTCGGAGGACTCGTCCCGCCGCTCGGCTTCCACTCGCGCCCGGTCCTGCTGCTCGAGAAAGGCGCAGAGAAAAAACGCCCACGTCTCAAAGGGAAACCGCTTGCAGGTCTGCAGGTCATAGGACGGCGCATCCAGATAGAGCGACCGGTTCGCGCGCGCCGAGTCGCTGAGGACGTCGAGGAACGGCGGCGGCGGCTCGGCGGCGAAGCGGAGCGGCTGGCTCGCGTTCTGGCCGAAGCTCACGAGGCCCTCGTCGATGCCGCGCGCGAGCTCCTTCAGCGTGACGCCGGGTCCGCCGTGCGTGGTCCGCCCGTCCTCGTCGAGCGGCGCGAACAGCATGAGGTACCACAGCAGCGAGTCCTGCAGGCCGTGGAGCGGGGCGCCGACGGTCCAGCCGTGGTGCTGGGCCAGGACGTCGGCGGCGGGCCAGTCGCTGCGGGCGCCGTGGACGTCGTAGAGGCGCAGGGCGGGGAAGCGGGCGAGGTAGGGCAGCGAGTGCTGCGAGACGGCGTCGTCGCCCCAGAGGCGCAGGACGCGCAGCCGCGGAAAGGGGGCCGCGGCCTCGGACCACGAGCGCACGAGGCGGTCGCTGACGCGGGGGAAGCTGGCGCGCGCCGCGGCATCGGCGGGCTGGATGATCTCGAGGGCGGCGAGGTTGCGCAGCGAGGCGAGCGCGAGGAGCTCGCTCGTGTCAAAGGCGCACCGCCCGTTGATGCTGAGGTGGCACAGGAAGTCGACCGACGTGGACTGCAGAGGCTGCAGGTAGCGCGCGAGGTCCTGGGACGGCCGGCAGATGTGGTGGCGGAAGCGGTAGAGGTCGAGCGTCTTGTCCTCGTCCTCGGCGAGGAGGAGCTTGGAGAAGGTCTTCCATGCTTGGAAGCAGACGCCGCTGTGTTGCCGTCAGCATCATCATCATCATCATCATCAACATCATCCGTAGCTTGCCAGACTGGCATACGCACCGGTTCTCCAACAGATGCCAGATCCTCCACAGAATCCTCGCAGGCAAGACGTGCCGCCCGAGATGGTCGTCAGAGAGAGAGCCGATGTTCTCGGCCACAGTATGCATGGCCATGTCGGCGAGGGACCTGGGGCCCTGGACGCCTCGGCCGGAACGACCCCTCCAGGATGGCAGATCGACGTGTCGCGCCCAGTCGGCTTCGGCCCCCCGCGGCGCACCGGACACGACGGTCTCTCGGTATACCTGGCCCGTTTCGCGATCGTACATGGCCGGGGGTGTGTTCAGGTGTGCATGATGAAGCGGTCGATGAGCGTTTCCAGGACGATGACGAAGCATATGCTGTACTGTGCCAAGGACAGTGTTCACACGCAGCCTCGTCTCAGCCTTGCCTCATGCCCCTCGGCCCGTCCGACCATTTATCATCGAGACAGCATTCATTGACCGTGCAGCGACATGTTTCGAGACAGACATGTTGACCATTTGGACATCGTGACAGCATTCATTCACCGTGCAACGCCATCTTTCGAGACAGACATGTTGACCATCTGGACATCGAGACAGCATTCATCGACCCTGCAACGACATCTTGCGAGACAGACATGTTGACCATTGGGCATCGAGACAGACGTATGGAACGATTCCTTCCATTCATGACGATCGACCAACACCGAGCCAAGCCAAGACCAAGCTGTGCGCATAGGAAAAATGTAGATTGGGTACGCCTCGAAAA